TGTGTATCATCTGAAATGAGTACACATCTTGTTCAAAATTTGAATCTTGATATTTTTGGGAAGCACATAACTGGAAATGTTTTATGCGCCTACAAGCAGAGTTTAACACTGTCAGGAGGCGGGCTTCTTTGACACTGACTGTCAGGGCAAATCGGGGCAGAGTAGAATGCAATATCCCAGTAGACTTTGAGATACTGTATACATTAAACTTCCCTGTTTGGGAATCGAAGAGGCAAAGTGTTGCATCATAGACGCCATATTGCACCCTGCTGTAAATGTTCACATCACGGAAGTCAGCTGGAGGATGTAGATGTGGGAAAGAAGGTTTGTTTACTTTCATGGGCCAAAGAACAGGGCATGTATATCCGTGGACTGGTCACTTGAAACGGTAGCACCCCGGGGAGTTCTTGCAAGTTCGTCTTTACGACGAAGCGGAGGAGACAATAATCATGTAATTCTAGACAATATTGATATCAGAGTGGTCTAATGGGTTAACCCTAACCAACACAATGGAGGGGTCCGACAGACCTCAACTGGGCTCTATTTTTAGGTTACAGGCTTAATGTTAGGGTCAGGGTTAGGATTAGGGTAAGGTTAGGGCAAGGTGTCAGTATTGTTTTAAAAAATGTTAATATCGTAAGGTTTCCGAGCCTTGAGGCTAAAATAAATTCGGTATCTATTTTTGATGGCCCTGAGATGATAGCCATAAATATAAAAAAAACTAAGATCTAAGCCGTTAGCTCCTCCGCAGTGGAGCCCTTGCTGCAAGCTAAGACCTTTATAAGACCACAAGACCCATCTCATTTGGAAGGCTATTGGGTTGTTCTAGAGTAATACAGACACAACCAGTAGAGCTGTTGGGAACCTGGCATCAGCAGTAAGTTTTTCGACACATTTCGGAATAATTCAAAGAGACAACCAGTCTGTTAAGGAATTCGCGTTTTCCATCAATACTTCTTAAAGTAGGAAAACATGCGCTACGTTTTGCGTCACAAAGAAACAACGAAATGGAGAGTGCTGTCGCCTTGTTTACAGAAAGTGGTCGTAGTTTCCTGCTATTATTTCGCCCTTGGCAATCAAGATTTCTGTGTACAGTAAAAAGAACGCTTGACACAAGACTTTGAAGCCTAGACAACGCCTGCTGAGTTATGAAGCTTCCGACAAATTGCAACATGTAAGGCTGCTAAATTCATTAACACCCGAGTTATTGGAAAGTTTATTAGTCATAACGTTGTCTAAAGTCCACACAAGAACACGCAAGTGATCATTACACAAACATTTACACGTACAAAACATATGGCGCAGGTGCGTAATCTCTTTTCCTGCTTCCGTGGAACAAGACAGCTTCCGGTTTTCGGAATGGAAAAGGGGACGGGACTTACCGTGTTGAGAGTTTGAAAAACTGTCGTTGTTTATTAACAGACGGCATACCTGTAAGGTACCTTGCAGCGAGCTGTAACTGATTGGGCAGCAGAAAGAATAGCCAGATTTTGATCCTACTGAAGAAAATATCAAAAGGGGGGG